TGGAATTTATGTACAAGGCCCCGTGCCAGGTGCTGGAACTTAAGACTTTTCAAACTCAACCATCTTTCCACTTTATCATTATACATGACAAAAACAAATACAGCTAACGTTTCTATAGTGTTTTATATTTCACACCAGGCTTGCAGGTTAAATGATAGTAAAGGTAACAACATCTTGGAGGCCTTTGTGTTAAGCTATGAGTCTTACTTAATTCCCGTTACAACAATTATCTCCAGTTTTCAGATGAAAAACTGAAGCGTAGGGAAGCTACTTATAAGTAATGGACAGACAAGAAAGTGAAAAGAGAGAAAAGAAGGCTTATAGCACAGTGGTTACAGCACCAACTACATACACCAAGCGTAGCAAGTTCAAACCTGGCCTCTGCCAGCTAAACAACTGCAACAAAAAAATAGTCAGGCGTTGTGGTGGGCACCTGTAGTCCCAGCCACTTGGGAGGCTGAGGCAAGAGAATCACTTAAGCCCAAGAATTAGAGGTTGCTGTGGGCTATGATGCCATGGCACTCTACCTGAGGGTGACATGAGACCCTGTCTCAAAAAAAAAAAAAAAAAAAAAAAAGAGAGAAAAGAAAATTGTAGGATTAGTAGACTGTTAAGGCTAAAGAGACTTTAGGTGCAGAGTTTATGGTCACAGTTCTTTGTTCCTAATAGGAAATAAGTGAGGAGATAAAATCGTAGAGAAGAAATCAAAGGCAAATGGGATTCAAAGTTTGATAGAATCAAGGAATTAATGAGTATAAGCTTATCATTTTTGAAGAAGGATGGAAAAAGCATATACAGGACAAGATGAAAGAATGAGAAAAAACCCAATATTTGTTCTGTTATGCACCAGGTGCATTATTGGTTCAGCTTTGTATTCAATCTTTCAACAACCCTTGGAGATGCATATTAATAGATCCTCAGTTAACCTGTGAGGACCCTGAGGATCGCAGAAGATAAATAGTTTGCTGACAATCACCGGTATAAGCAGTGGAACTGGACAGCACCTGTGG